TTTAAATATTCTCAGTAGTAGCATGGAGTCTGAAATTGTGTCCGGTATAAGGCAATAGGCTCACCCCCTATTACATGGGACTCATAAACTAAATAGTGAAATGTGGGTGTTACATTGTACAGTGGTATAATGTGCACCTCTGCCTACCCCTTCGGGGATAAAAGGCATGATGTTATGTTATGTTATTATTATACCTACATAGAGATATGTGTATTTATGGGATAAATAGTCAATATTTATAAATAATGAATAATTATCCATTTTTACTATAATTTTTATGTATGTTTTACCGGAAATATATGAAAATCCTACGTTGTTTGCGTGCTCCGCTTTCATACAAAACGTTTATGTTTTTTTTATGAAATTATAAGATTTAGAAAGTGTGCGATGGGTCTCGATGCTACGTGCTCTGTGAGAAATTGGCAGTTTATCGGATAAATGCTTATTACGCTACCAATTTTGACGTAGCGTCAGTTTATTACAATTTTGTATAAGCGCTAGTAATTGTATTTTTTTTGTTTCTATTATTTTTACTAGACTAATGAAAGCAGTGCAGAACACCATCCATCAACAGCCTATTAATGCCCACTGCTGAGCAAAGCCTCTTCTCACACGGAGAAGGTTAGAGCGGTAATCACCACGCTTGCTCAATGCGGGTTGGCGATTTCAAACTTATAATTAGAAATTATAAGTCCAGATTTCCTCACGATGTTTTTCCTTCACCGTTTGTCAGTAGTGTCTAAATAATCTTAGAAAGTACATAGAACTCGGAAAAAGTCCCATTGGTACTTGCCGTTGGTAGGTTTCGAACCCGCACCCTCATGCATGAGAAGTGGGCGTCTTAAACCTCCGGGCCACCACGACACAGAACACAGATAAGGATATTTACGAAAATTACAAGCAAACTACTACCAGACCTCTAAAATTTTCCAAGACTATCATGCTAAATTTGCGATCATACAAAGTGAGACCATTATAAACTGATCAGATTTTTTATTATGGTGACGGTTCCATCGATACCAATGATCGAATTTGGGATATATATTATGTAACTTCTCTACCTTGCCCCAAACAAGTAAAAAAAGTAAATAAATAAACATAAATTATTTTAATCGATTCTGAGTGTTTGCTCCATATGTTTTTGGGCTTTATTTTATTGTAATGTGCCAAAGTCCCCCTAGTCCCCAGTCCCTTAAACGAGCGGCGCGCCGATAAGGTGTCCGATGACGCAACACGCGTGCATGTACATGGTAGAGTACGTACTCTTGGCGCTCCCAAACGGATATCACAGCGCATTCGAAGCCGCGGGCAAAAGCTAGTTAAATGATATTTTTAAAAGAAGAACACTATTTGTCTATGGTAAATGACGTGACGTTTTCTCCTTTTGATTTGACATTTGACAATTTTCTTCATCATCATTCAGTTTTTTTTAATCTATTTGTCAATTTGGTTTTGTTTGGTGCATTTTGATTTTGCGGTATCTTAGAATTCTGCAATTACATAAAATTGCATGATAATTGCGTTTTAAAAGTATTGACTTAATACTGACCTCCATTTTTATTAAGAAAACTGCGCACATACAATAAAAACCGAAGTCATGAAACCTAGCGGCGGCGGTGGTGACGACTACGTAATTTACAACTTTGAATTTTTTTTCAATGTTTTAAAAGTTTAAATATAAATAAATCCTTTATTTTGGTTTTACAATTGATTTAATATTAAGGTTATTCAAAGAAGTATAACGATGAAGGATTCTTTTTTTTTGTAAACAGTTTAATTTTTGTGTTCAGCCTGTCAAGGCTTTAGTGTTGATTAGTTAGTACATTAACCATTGTACAAGATCTGAAGGGTCTTACACATCTGAAACTAAATTAAAAGTTTGCAATTTCAATTTCAGGAAGAGCCGGAGCACTTACGAAAGTTATTTATTGGTGGCCTTGACTTCCGAACTAACGATGTATCATTGAAAGAGTTCTATGAACAATGGGGCGAAATTGTAGACGTAGTGGTTATGAAGGATCCCCAGACCAAGCGGTCAAGGGGTTTTGGTTTTATTACTTATTCCCGGGCACACATGGTGGATGATGCACAGAAAAATAGACCACATAAAATAGATGGAAGGTAAATATTATTCTCTTCTCTGCCTCACTTACATACTAAGTTAGATTAAAACACCTTTATTTAACTGCTTCCTTTTTTAGAGTGGTTGAACCAAAGAGAGCTGTGCCTAGAGAAGAAATAAAGAGGCCTGATGCTGCTGCAACTGTTAAAAAACTGTTTGTTGGAGGACTGAAACAAGATATTGAGGAAGAAGACTTGAAAGAGTATTTTAGTTCTTACGGAAACATAGTTTCTGTGAGTTTAGTGACTGAAAAGGATACAGGGAAAAAGAGGGGTTTTGGATTTGTGGAGTTTGATGATTATGATCCAGTAGATAGAATATGCTGTGAGTTAATTTCTAATGACAAGACATTAACTTTGTTGTGTTACAATTTGCTTAACTATTAATGATTACTTTATAGTGCATCCCAACCACAAAGTTAAAGGTCACCGTTTGGATGTGAAGAAAGCCTTGTCTAAGTCTGAAATGGCAGCTGGTGGACCTGGTGGTGGTGGTAGCAGTGGAGGTGGTGGTGGCCGTAGGGGAGGGGGACGAGGAGGAGGCGGTGGAGGATGGGGAAACAGGCAGAACCAAGACTGGGGCAACTCAGGTGAGTTTAAAATAGAACTTTTGAATAGATCCTGGAATTTTTTTACACATGTCATTCTTCAAAGAAACTTTAAGGTATAATTAACAAGACTTGTATGACCAGATGGAGGTGGCTACAACTCTGGTTATGGTCAAGGAGGATGGGGTAACCAGAATCCTTGGGACTCAAACAATGCTGGAGGCAACTGGGGTAACCAAGGTTATGGCGACCAAGGAGGCTGGAACCAACCTAACAGTAACTTTGGTACAGGATATCAACAGGGTTATGGTGGCGGCCCCATGAGACCAAACTACAACACATCCAGACCACAGCCATATAATAACTCAGGTTTGTATCTACCCCTTTGTAATAATTTGTTTATCAGCTATAGTTCTTCTAATTTTAAAACTCTGGAACTTATAGAAATATAGAATCAATGCTTTTATCTATTTGTATAATAATAGGTAATTGTTGATATGCCATTAATATTTTGAGAAGCCGATGGTTTCGAAGGTGGCGGCGGTGGATACGGCACTGGTGGAGGCGGCAACGGAGGCGCGGGCAGCGGCGGTCCTGCTTACAACAACATGGGCGGCAATCAAGCCCAGGCCGCTAATCAGCGTCGATTCTAAACAACGACGTCCTCTTGTGAGTAGAATCTTATACAAACTTATTAATATCTCATTACAAATTCATATTATACATTTCAATAACAATCCCCTTTTTTCGAAATTGTATGTTTTGGCATTAATTGTTTAGGGCCTCCTATAAGTCATGCGTGCTTCGCATGACAACTGCGCGCATCTTCGTAATCGTTTCATGCATGCAATTTACCTTCATTCGACGTGCAAAACATGCGTGACTTGTTAAGACCCTTTAGGTGTCCACATATTAATCGTCGCGGATTTCTCCTAAAGTCCAATTATTAACACAGGCTACTGGCGTTTTTAGGAAAGATTTAATTATCATATGTAGATCGCTCCGAAGTGATGCGGCGATTAGTTCGGGGACACTTTTATTCAAAATTCGTAAGAACTTTTTAAAATAACTAATTTCATAAATTTCTTTATCCCACATGACGTTCATTATCTTTTGTAATGGTACGTCAACCAATCTCATGGTTTCATTTTGAATATGAATGGTGTGTACTTACGAAGATATTTTTTAACATGTAGGTCTCAAGTTGCGCTTAGTTGAAGCTAGGCAGGCAGACGGTAGAGTAGTGACGGGAGGTAGGCCAGGAGGTCAGCTAGCTAGTGAGGGACAAGCGGACTTAGTGAAGCGACTGCATTACATAGTCATTTTACATTTATTTTGCTCCTTCAATAAGGTTTGTTCACAATAAGGTACTGTGTAGGCATTAGATTCATTTTACCTATTAATTGTGAGTCGTTTATCACGCAATCACAGTTTTTACATTTCAATTAACACTTTTTATTACTTTCTGCACAGCTATGTGTTATAATCAGATGCCTTTATAATTAATTAAACTCTGTCCTTGTCCAATCCAGATGATACTGTAAAAGCTGTGGCATAAGATTTATATTTGCGTTTTAGTCATTAAGTGAGGAGATTTATATTATTTCTGTTAATAATTTAATGTAGATTATAATTTTATTTTTCAATATTAACGTCCATGTTTAGATAGAGATAGCTATAACATTCCAAAGTAATGATCTATTTACTGAATGCAGAAATATGTTACAGTATGATTTGTAACGAATTAATATAATGACATGGAGTTAGATATAGGAAAAAATAAGTAATGGTGGAACTCATAAAGAGAAAACATTTATAAAATATTTGTCAATGCATTCTATGGTGTAAACAATAAAAAGGAATTTGACATTGCAAAATGAAGTATATTATAGATATTCTATCTAACAGCTGTATGAAAATTTGTTAACATTATAAATATTATATTAATCTTTTATATGTCTTCAAGATATAATTTATCTTCCTTAAGTTAAGTTGTTATAATGTAGAGTTATGATTGTTTTTATTTGTGTGCATACAATTAAATAAGTACTATTTTCCATGGATTGTTCTACACGTGCGCGAGCCTTCCACCGTGGAATAGGCCATGGTAAGTTGACTCATATACAATAAAAAACACAAAAAATCTAACACAATGTTTTATTTTAACATCCTCATTCCATAAACATATCCTTTAAATATACTACTTAGATAAGATTATGTACACTACAATAATTACTTAATCACCAAGAAATACAATTTTCTACTAATTAGGAACGATATACGTAGTTTTAAAAAAAATATAAATAGTTATCCTCAATCAGACAGTTTTAAATAAGTAGGTGTCTACTTAAATAACGAAAAGAAACAAAACAAGTTTAATTTAGCTTGGCGTAAAATATAGTTACCTAATACAAATTATAAATATTTTTGGTATAATTTATTGAAGTTTTTATCGAAGTATTCGAAGGAAAATAACAATATGAATGACCTTAAAGCAGGTCGTTCACATACAATTGCTCGTTAAATCTATTGGGCCGTGGCCAGATACGGTATACAGTTATAAGTACTAGGTAGTAACTGTTGTTTGACGAATTTTAACTTTAAAGTATCTAAATCTGTTAAAAACATTTTTTTAATCATAAATCGGCCGTTGAGCCTTTGGGACCGGCTATAAAGTTTTGAAAATACCGTTATTTGTGCTGACGTACAAGCAAAAGTATGACTGGTAGACATTTTTATTTTATTCGTAAGTGCATTTTTGGTCTACCTAAGAAGTGTTTTGACTTTGAACCGTATCTGACTATGCTGTCAAACGGTTGTTCTAAAAATAAGTACTTCATTTATCGTTTATTGTCGGTGGGTGCTGGACAGGAAGGCAGGGGCAAGTGGGCGGTGTACAGTACGCAGGAGACAGGACACTCGGGAACAACCCAGATGCTGCTGCTAAATGTCTGTGAAAAGCATAAAGTAGTTATTATTATTGTCCATTGTTATCAAAACTAGGAATTAAGTAGGTAAGTAGGTAATTATATAATGATACTAATTATGACTTTTGGTTATGCAGGACATTAAAAAGCCAATACAAATGAATCGGCTAATGAATGGTTTCCTAATTTGATGACTCGTGTTATGCTAAACTCCTTTTAATGAGAATTGGGACTGCAATAGATGAACTTGATTGACTAGTAAATAAGCTTTATACAAGGACGTTGAAAAAAGGTTTTATACAAGAACTAAATCGCAAGTCATGTAATAAATTAAATGAGTACCTATCACAAAGCCATGGATGAGCTTGCTACATGACTAATACATACCTACCTACTTAGATGCTTTTTACAAAAGATGCTTCAAAATTTACCGGTTCACACAACAATCGGCATGGGCACGGTTTTAGTCACCTAACTTATAACTGTATTTTGTTGTGTAGGTCATCAATGGTCATTGGGTTGATTCACAGTATTTATACAGCTTTAATTAATTTTCGCATGTAGGTAGGTAGGTACGGTGGTGAGCAGATCAATCTACCTATCCTTTTCTGTCAAATTTCTTTAATTCATCATCCTTTATTACATTGATATAAAGTCGACAATCCAATGAATAAATTTGACAGATTGGAGAAAATTGAAATGTATAGACAGGCACCGATACAGGTACCGTCTAAATTCTCGTCAAATAGTTATGTTATTAATACTGAGGGGTGGATGCCTATGCTATTCTAAACAATAAAATCCTTGCTAAAACGGGTTTTCATACCATACAGACAGTTTTAACGAATTCCCACGTTCTATTTTAATAAAATAGTGAAAGTAAATTAATCGTGGGAATGCGTACAAGTGATAGGTAAGTGCTACCTATATTTTATATCGATTGGCTATTGATAGACTGCAAGGCTATTTATAGCTGGGGACCTAGTTTCAAGGGACTATAAAAAAGAATAAGTACCTAGGTTGGTACCTACATAAGTAGCTTACCTTGGAAAATAATAATTTATACCTTCAGTAGGTAACAGCTACAGAGAAAAAATATTACCCACTTAGGTACCTAGTACGTACCTACGTACTCATACATGGGAACATAGAGTTAAAAAATAAATGCTCCTGTGTCCGAGGCTAGACGGCATTAGGTGGATTAATGTAATGTAACGTTAATTGTGCGTGTATTGTCGCTTTACTAGAAAGGTAAGTACTTGCCTGTATTGTTGATCTAGTTGTGCTTTCTCAATTCTTTTGTCTTTAGCTCTTCGGTTTTGAAACCAAATTTTCACTTGTGTCTCGCTGAGTGATAATGCAGATGCTAGTTCGCACCTGGAAAATATATTTCAAATTAAAAGATTTAGGCATAAGAGTTGTAGAAGTAGGCGACGTCTATGTAGGTAGGTACTTAATGGGTTAATGGTATGTGTAGGCAATGACAATGGAAATCTCAATTGATCTCAAGAATATTCTCCACGTCCTTGTGGTGTTTAATAAAAATAAAATACTGTAATTGTATTGGTAAGCAAGTAGCTTAAAACTTTTTCTCAGGAACCTTCGTGTCAGAGACTAGTCTGGCTGGAAGAGCTCAAAAACTTTTATCACCATTTGGTTAAGAAAAAAAAAATGCCTTTATTTTTTAAATTATTTTAATGGTGTCAATAATTATTTTGTCACAATTGTGTGCCATTACTTATCATTTTGTAATTAATGTATGAATAAATGGGTATCTAATGGATTACAAGGAAATACAAGATTTTATTAAAAAATCTCTTGTAGTTTTGTCATTGCCAAAATAAAATAACTGGCTTCAAAGGATTTTTATTTTACTCTATGCATACCTATAGGAAAAAAAAAGATTATTTTACTCTATAGTGGCAATTATCCATTGCGTTACTGCTTTATGCCTACCTTGTTCTTCCAATGACTAACAAGGTTTAATTAGCTATGCTGATAAATAAACAATAATCATTAAGTATAATAAATAAAAAATAACATTAAAAAAAAAAATACCATACTATTTTCTTTACCTTCTCGCCCGAGCAACATATTCGCCCCTCGCATATTCCAGTTCCAGCCGAAGAGTCTGATGTGCAGAGAAGGTGGTGCGCTGTCGACGTGGCCGGCTCTCCTTGCGGCGTCTGCGAGCCACTGCGACAAATAATAATAAGATTACTTGGAGAGCTAGATAATCAACTGAATAACCAGTTTCTTACAATGGAACATAATCTGCCTCGTTGGCCGAGTGGTCGCAAGTGCGACTGCCGGGCAAGGGGTCTCGGGTTCGATTCCCGGGTCGGGGAAAGTATTACTGGGTTTTAAAAAAATCTAAGTAGTATCACGGAGTCTGGAATATGGAAATACGATCACCCCCTATTACATGGGACTCATAACATAAATAGTGAAAAATGGGTGTTACATTGTACAGTGGCATTAAGTGTCGAAATGTGCACCTCTGTCTATCCCTTCGGGGGGATAAAAAGGCGTGATTCATACATACATAACGTATGTATGAATATAATCGATTTTTTAAGGGGGGAAAATCATCGAATGACTGCTCCCACCTGGTGAGGCGGGAGTGAGTATCAGACTTACTGACTAAAAACCACGCCGTTCATACTTCTGCCCTTCGAGCCGGAGCCCCGGCAGCCCGTTAAGTCTTAGCTACTTCAGAAGTGCCTAAGTAGATACCTATCCGGTTGTAAGTAAGTAGGTAGGTACCTATCCAAAACCACTAAACCATAGTCTTTAAGATTCCCACGCGAGTACTAAGACCTAAAAACCCTCTACCTATACTTATACGCTACGTACTAATAAGGATTCCTTGCAATTCCTGTGTCGGTAACTTCGGTAAGTGTTTGTACCATGAGAAAACGCTTGTAAGAGCTCCGATTCCGCACCATATTGTCCCGGAAGTGTCTCCTAGTGAAACCCCGCGACACAGGGGTGAATCACGATTATTTAATCGTTTATTAATTTTGCTATACGATATTGGTTACTAAATATTACACAGACACTGATATGATAGGGGTTCCGTGTATATTTAACTCGTCGAGTACCATCATTATAGACACAATTATAGAACAATAGGTTGCGGTCACCGGTGACCGCTTGGTGCTTGACAGTTTAAAATAAGAGATAGAAGGTAGGTTATAATTTATAAGGGTTTAAGTATTTTTTGTTTAATTATGGTTAGTAAGATTCAGAAAACGACTATTAGGTACGTTATTCTCTACGATTTTGATAAAACATAAAACATCATAGATAGCAAAAATTCTTTAGAATCTTGTGCAGATGCAGCGACAACGACACACTTATTGAGATTACTCAAAATTAAATCCGTCGGAGATTTAAATTTTAGGTCAGTTACAGAGTAAACAAAATAATGAATCTGCTACTAAATTTAAAGGTTCACAGTACCACGGAACCCTATCGTTTGAACAGAGCGTATTACCGTCGGGATTGAAGCGCTATGGTGGGTGGGAGACGACATATGGCAAGGATTGGTGTCTGTTACAATAATGTCCGGTCAATTAGTGATTGATTCACGAGACCATGCTCAATGCCTTCCGACTTCCGTCCTCAGTATGTGATTTGGAATGGCTTACAAAATAAATTACCTACAATCAAGTTGAGATACCTTATGCAATTCTTTAGAGATTATTACTTATACGTCAGACGTAACTGTAGACTTTTGATAGGTATTGTCTTTCAGCCCAGGTCATTACTAATGTGTACCAATGAATTATTATTAATCAATTTGCTTTGTTCGCTATTTATTTGTTATCTCTAAAATTTTATAATGTCGTTAATATTTAGAAACTAGGAGAGGGAGAAAATGCCACTTAGAACTACCCACTTAATAGAGGTAACAACCTATAAGTAGAGCAGATAGTTAGCAACCTACGCGCATTAAGTACTGGCCTGTTCAATTGAAGTAAAAAAAATCTGGGATAAGTGTGGGAGAGCCATGCTTCGAGCCTTCGGCACGAATGGGCCGGCTCGACCGAAGTGATACCACGGCCTCACAGAAAACTGACGTGAAGCCACGCTTGCGTTGTGTTTCGTCATGTGAGTGAGGTTACCGGAGGACCCCCTTCCCCAGTCTCCCCAATCCCCGAATCCCCCACAATCCTCAAAATCCTAATCCTCAAAATGCCGGTAACGCACTTGTTACGCCTCTGGCATTCCAGGTGTCCATGAGCGACGCCGATTTCTTACCATCAGGTGATCCGTCTGCTCGTTTACCGGATTATCCCATAAAAAAATCTGCTAGCGAAAATATCCACAATATCCACATTATTATTTGTGTAAAGAAGAAATAAAAGTTCGCATGTCCCGTCTCGTTAGGCGGGCCGAGGATGCGTGCCAGATTGTTCTCATTTTACTTGTTTCTATTGAACGTACGATTGTGTGAATCTTTATTGTAGTACCTGCCTGCCTACACAGGTGGAACCTAATGAGGGATATATCAAATACAGTTTTGTGTGGATACTTTTATTGTTGAACATCATTAATTATCTTGTTGGCAGTTGAGTATCTCCTTAACTGTGTAGGTAGTTTATCAACAATAAAGACAAACTTTAAGGTATAGATAGCTAGATGAAGAGGTAGGACTAGGTTGAGTACGTACCGCCATTCAATATGTGTGAACTATGAACTAATTGACAATCAAGTGGCTAATGAGACCCGTTAATCTTTTATCGTGCATATTTTTGGTAATCTGTGTGACAGGATTTCCTAGTGCAGATCTCCCACCAAGGTTAAATCAAAACCCAATACCTAGCTATAGGATATGCTTGTAATCCCTTAATACCGTTTATACCTTTGAGGAAAAGAAATAAATTTCATTTATTTATTATTTTAACCGCTATTGGATGTTTCAAAGTTCAAACTTGGTCTTATCTGTGTTATGCTTTTATTACAAAGTTTTACTTAGCACAAAACCCAACTAAGATTTAACTAATGCACCTACATCGATTGATAGATAATTAAAACGAAAGCCAATACAATAATCCGCATCAAAATTAAGTGTACCTAGAAGCAATCGACAATCCAATAACAAGATTGGCTGAGTAAGATAGCGCGCGAAAAGGGTGTCCCTGTGAGTCGTCAGCTGTGGTTCTGTCATGAGCACCGTATGTATGTAATTGGAACACAATAGAGGTATTATCTGACTGAGTGTTGTCACATTAAATCGTCATGCGCTTAATCGAGTCGAAAGTGAATGTTATTAGTGGTTTTAGGGGGACACCGCGATTTGTGTAAACTTTTTCATGATTGGTATCAAGTTAATAATTTAATCGTAACTATTTGTACGGTGAGTAAAGTGGTTTTGATGGAAATTGCACTTTAAAATGATAATACTGTCGTCAATTAATAAATAGGTAGTATCTTAGGTACCTTGTTGGGTGGTTGCAGTTGCGATTGTTGAACTCTTGGTCCGAGCCTTTGTAAAGCAATATGCACCTATTTAAGTATAGTACATAACATAACATTACGCCTTTTATTCTCGAAGGGGTAGGCGGAGGTGCACATTATGGCACTGTACAATATAACACCCAGCCTATTGCCATATACCGGGCACAGCAGCCATTCGTCGCACTTGCGACCACTCGGCCGACGAGGCAGTTAAGTATAGTATTACATTAGTTATAGTTAATAAAAAAAGGGACTTATCAGGTACAGCTTCCCTCCCTTCTTCTTGAAGCAATAGGTACAAATCGGAGACGTACCAACCTAACTACCTACATATGTGCGTAGCTTTAGCTGTGTGTTCTGAGAGCAAACACAAACACCTAATTCCAAATAAAAAAACAAAAAAGAAAGACAATGATCGTCATCTAAGTAAACTACAAAAACACCATTGTTGTGTGCGATTAAAAAAATGATTGTGTTTAATCAACAATGCTCACAATAGCGGCCGGCCGTGTTAGGGTTGCGCCCCTTAATATTCATTAAGCCAAGATCCCCTAATTACAACTTCATTCGACCATTCACTCGTGGCCATTTAGAGATGAAGAGCCACACCTGACTTGCTCCCGTTTTGTTTTCGATGCCGATATTGATATTAGGAAAAATACAAAAACTACGCTCCAATGCATTTCAATTGAGCACAATACTCGTAGATACAGAAAACTCGTAGTGAAATCGGTTTCTTATTATGGCTACTGACTTTTTCCCGGTGTTTTGCTCAGCTGTGGCTAGTGATGTGAGAAAGAAATTTTCATCGGTGTTTTGTATAGGATATTTATTGACTTAATGGTACTTAGTGAATTTTAGATACCAAACTTGCTTGCTTTTGCTAGATCACAGATTGATTGAATTTGGATCCACCATCGGATAATTATCAAATTAGTAAATACCGCTGTCACTGTGTTTTGAAGTCCATCAATCACTAATCCTGAATTAAAAAAATATTTTAACTATGTACCTCTAATTACATCCAAAACAATACAATTAATGTAATTCCGTATTTATCCAATAAATCGACTGTCGAATTTGTAACAGGCTGTTGGACACAGCCGCACAGCTTAGCAGTCTTCGATGAAGCTGTGTACTTCGGTCAAATGCGATGTGAAACGAGTGTTATATAAATTGTATCGAAATATAAATCTAAATGTTACATTGTCGGAGGACGATGGATGCACGTGCAAGCTCCCACGAGTTGTACGCTAAACATTTACACAATGGAGATTCGAGTGTCCACGATTGATAAAAAATGTGGTCCGATTTTGAATGAGGGGTTTATATCTACAGAATCGTAAATGATTATTTATTTGGAGACGGTGATTATTTTGCAATGTGTTAATTTACAGTGAATTTACTTGTTATCGGTTGGTAGGTAATTGATCTGGTTGATGTAGGTCTGGATATGGTCAGGAGAAGGAGCCCGGCGTTTGCTGTCCACTTACATACTTTTCTGCTACCAATGAGTTGCTGATTCCAATTTCTGAGACTATATTTTTATTACACCTAAGTATTTAAGAATTTCCATTGTGAAAAACAACAAAACTATCAATGGAGGTAGTACTGTAGAAAGTCCTAGCCAAGCTAGGTAGGTACCTAATCATTCGCCATGATAAAAAACAAAACCTACTGAATACAATTCAACACAAATTCAGTAGGTATTCAGAGCACCAATTTACTTG